CACCTCTTCTATCTGGCCTGGTATCCGCTATCCTGCTAAATCATATTCCTTCAACCATAAATCGGCGCTCGCTAAACACCCCTGCTAATAAACTATAATATTGAAAACCCTGAACACTCTCTTATAAACCCTGAACACTCTCTTATAAACCCTGAACACTCTCTCATAAACCCTGAACACTCTCTTATAAACCCTGAACACTCTCTTATAAACCCTCAACACACTGCTCACAATCCTGAACACGTCTGTGAAAACCCCTGAACATCTCTGTTATCCTCTGATACCTGGACACTATGAATCTGTCTGTGCGCTGGCGTTCATATATATATATTTCTGGTGGCTATGGCCTTCATTCACTGGACCGGGGTTGATGTATATTGCTGTCCGTCACCTGCTGAATTATATATAATCGATCGTGTTGATCGTGTCCGAATGATAATGTATCTGAAATATTCTTTCGGCTAAATTGTAATCCAATCTTAACGGCTGTGAAATCGTATAAAACGGCTATCTGGGCTGTATTCCGCCGCCCATGGATTCGGCTGGAAATGGCGACCCATCAAACACCCTCAACACCCGACAACCCTCAACACCGATATCCCTGAACACATTGATTAAAACCTCAACACCACAACCCAACCCAAATTCCCACAATGTCCGTACTATCGCCCTCGGGCCCTCCCCCATAATCTTTCCCCTCGATCTTTTTACCCGTCCTCGTGTCTTCGGCCGATACGTCCTCCCGCTGCGGCACTCACGAATATCCCTTTTAATATCAATCATCTCGCCTCTTGCACTATCCGACTGACCCTCCCGGATATCGTCACTCAATCCCTCCTATCGTGATGCCTCGATTGCCCCCTGCCATTATCCTTCCGAAATACAATCCTGACATCCACGGATATTGACCACTATATGTTCATTTGAATCAATCACTCCCACCTTCCCAATCATGGCAAATACGGCCACCCGACTGCGAAACCGGCAATCCACAATATTAAATCCCTCAACACCCCTCACTATGCGCTATAATCGATCCCTTAACACCTGTTTTATCCGCCCTGGTAATTGCTACACGGCTGAATTACCACTCGAAATGTCTATGCTAACAAACTGTAATATTAAAAACGCTGAACACACTGCTCGCAAATCCTGAACACGTCTCCAAAACCCCGAAATATCTCCGTTATGCTCTGATATCTGGAAACTGCAAATGTGTCCGTGCTCGGGCCTTCGAATATGTATACCGCGGGTGGCTGTTGCCTTCATTCGCTGGACCGGGGTCGATATATATTGCTGTCCGTCACTGGCTGAATCATATATAATCGATCGCGTTGAACTATTCTTTTGGCTAAATTGTAATCCAATCCTTACTGCTGTGAAATCGTATAAATCGCCTATCTGGGCTGCTCTCCACCGTGCATTGGATTCGGCTGGAAATCGCCATGATTCAATATCGAACAACCCCTACTGATAAGTCTGAAAAAATCATATGGAATTCGAATTCGAAAATCTTCTTCCGTGGCCTGCTGAATCTCGATCAATGGCTTCCATCCGTGGTACCGCTGTCAACATCAACCGGAACCCACATCTACCTGCATCGTCACGCCCTTGATATGCCCGCCGCAACCAAATCAACTCCTCCGTGATCTACGCCCGTTTCCGTGCCCTATTCCGCACCATCTGTCCAAAATTCTATCAACGCCTCGTCGTCCTGCTCCGCGTTCCGGACCCCTGTGCGGCCAACCGCTGGGACTACCGCTGCGATATCTCCACATTTGCATATGGCCCCTTCACCATCATCACCACTGTCGGGATCAATGCCGTCCGAAACCCTTGACACCGATCCTGTACCGCCGGACTATGCTCTGTCGTGCGATCCGCCTGCGGGCATATGTATTGCGGCATCCCACGATGGAACCAACCTTCCACCTCCTGCTCCAAATATGCCTCGTCCTCATATCGCTGGGATGCCGTGCCATGGTGTCGATCTGATAAACGGGCACGTTTAATGTCCTGCGTTCGGAATCGATGCCATGGGCAATCGGGATCCTATCCGGTTTGGCGGCCGTGGATACTGGTGGTGGATGGGTGGTGCCGGCTTGTGGTGACTCGGGCTCATGCTCGTATGATCGCTTCCTACCCGCGATGATGGATCTGGATGGCCTCTTCTGATGCCGCCGCACAATGGGCTGGGTACTTTGTGCTAATGGCGAACTCAAACTGACACTGCTGTGGCTACTGCTGCTGCTGGGCCGATGGGCTATAATGGAAACCTCATAACTCTGATCACACACCTGGGGTGGCGGTGGTATGATGGGCATCCATCGGCCATTCTCCACCGGCGGCAATGGGGCTGGTATATACTGGGATGCCACGGGGGAACGATCAATATTAATGGCCTCGGTCATCACGGGCTCCTGGTCCTGCCATCCGGGCGCACATCCATCACATAATGACTCGGGTGGATATCGCCACAACGCTGCCGGTGGGATCCATCAATGTGCCCGTCTACATATGTATCCAACACCACACGCCGGCAATCGTGGACCGCACTCCATATACTCCACAACACCGACATGCTCCGCCACACTATGACCCTGCATCCAACGGCCGTTGCTCCCGTCCAACCCTTTGACCGTCGGCCTGGATGATCATGGCCTCGCTCGGTTGCCCATCGCATCCCGCGCGGCCACTCTCCTGTGCGTCATCGAACATCGTGCGTGGCTGACCGAATGAATGACACTCCGGTTGTCTGGATATCAATTCCAATGCCCAATGCGTTGGTGATGGTGATGACGGCGCTGGGCGTGTCCCGGAATGCTTGCAATACACCATCGCGGTCGATTGTCATCTGGTGATATGCGGCACACCCTAATGACTCGGCCATCCGGGTGATATGGGCCACGGCGGTGCCATATATGATCACCCGCGGGTTGCGCGCGACGGATCCGATCCTGGATGAATGCAATCCCCTCGGGCATATCCACCCACTGCGACTGCTGTTGAATTGGGCCGGGGGCCCCGGTATGCACCCGATATGCCACATGGGGCGATGGGGACGTCCTCGATCCCATGTCACGTCCCCGTCGGTCCATCCCATCCGCCGGCAACACTCGGGCTCCGCACTGGGGGCAATGTCGCGGTTAAACATATCATCTGCGTCTGCGCGGATCGTAACTGGCCTCATTCCTTACTAATGGGCGGAATTCGGGGTCCGGCTCAACACAACATGGCACTCGTCAATCACCATCCGATCCAACCGCTTCCACGTCCGCTGCCGGTCCATGAATCTCCGGACTTCATGACTTGGTACCCTCTCGGGCGTCACTAATATAATGGACGCTCCATCGGGGGGCCACTGGCGATCCCACGCCGCACACGAAATCCCCACCTCCTGGTACCGGCGCTGCATGTCCCGTCGTAATGCTATCACAATGGCAAAACCACAATGGTCATCCCGCCACGACGCACCCACACGGGCCACATGCGTAATACACTGTTGCCACCCCCGGTGGGCATCACCGCGACAATCGGGCTCTCGCCGTGCTGGATGGACCGTCATATGGGCTGTTGCATCCCTCGTAATTGCATGGTGGGATCCCCCATCATGTGCTGGAATGCCTCGGTCATCAACCGCCCATCCATCATGCCGGCGGTGCTGGGCAAATGCCCGGCCTGTCAATCGGCCACCCGGGCCCGGATCCCGTCTTCGTCCCACTCATCCTCATCATCAATATCGGAATGCCGGCCTCCTCGTCCCCCTCGATATGGACCGGAACTGGCTGCTCCCGCGTCCATACCGCCGGCTGATGGCAATGGCGATATCCCGATATGCCTGGATGTTGATCGCGGTACCATGTAACCCCGTGCGGGTTTGTGCCTTCAATATCTCCCGAATCGGGGAACTCCACTCCTTCTGTTTTTCGGGGTCGGGGACCAAATCTAATCGGGCTCGCTCGGTGGTGGCGGGCTGCCCACGGAACCCCCGCTGATATGTCTGCATGGCCTCAATAAACGGCAACACCAACTCCCGCGGGATATATCGGCAAATCACCTGGTGTCATTGTTGATATGGAACCCTTGTGATATCGGCTGACAAACATCACCATCCCATCATCAATGAACCCATTCCGGCGCTCTCGCTCGCTGTCGAATACTCAACAACTCGGGGGCACGGCTGGGTTGCCCGGCACATACGTGGATGCCCACGCTCAACATCTCCCGGATTGACGAACACACGGAAATACTGATGGATCTCCCCCATATGAAACTCAATGCCTTCGGGCGTGATGAACTGCCGGCGTAATGGCCCACGGCACACCCGCTGGATCAACAACTCCGATCCATTGACCGGCCACTGCGTGCGGGGTCCTGGATGAAATTCCACCCTGGCTGGCGTCGTCGTATAAATGATCCCATGGAATAACGGGCGTGGTGGCCGGCGGGCAACACATCAACTGCTCAACCAACATCGGGCGGGTCTTTTCCACCGACCCATGCACGAATCTACGGAAATCGCCCATGGTGAATGGATCTGGTATACAACAACTCATCGCCCGACTGCTACCCCCGGATTGCCATTCAATCTGGCCTTCCACGGGCGTGTTGGTGACCCGGCCATATGTACGCAAATCGATCAACCACTGGATGGGCCCGCTGGTGCCGCGGCCTCGCATGACGCCACACAATATTCTACAACCGCTGCTGGGACTGCGAAACTGATACTGGGCGATTTCCAATCATGGGGGATCTGGGATGGTTAATGGATCGATGGAATGGTGGAATGGTGGGCTGGGGTTCGCCGGTGGGATGCATGAATATATATATCTGGCTCCTCGACATATATGCGGGCATGCGGACTCCCATTGACATCACCCACCAAACCACCAATCTTCTTGGACTGGAATATATATATGAAAATCATCATTCATGTATTCCTGCTGGTAAAACAACCCTTGCGAAGCGCCCATGTGATGCCATCAACGTGACCCACGCCTCTAATCACTGCACTTCTCCCGTCCATCATATGCCCGCCGTAACCAAATAAACTCCTCCGTCAATTGCGACCGTTTCTGCGCCGTCCCCGGCGCGCGCTGTCCGAAATACTGAATCAACCCTTCATCATTCCGCTCTGGATCCACCACCCCGCGCGACGCCAATCGCTGGTACCATCGCTGCGTGACCTCCGCATCTCGCTGCGGCCCCTTGCCCATCATGGCCACCATCGGAATCAACACGGTGCGGTATCCTCGACACCGTTCTTGGACCTCCTCGCTATGGTCCGCGTGATGATCACCCAATGGACATATGTGCTGCGGCATGCCACACGGGAAATGTGCGGTATAATTGGCATACTGGACCTTCCCGCGGACCATCTTCATCCAATCCTTATTCGCCTGGATTTCCCTGCTGGCTCCCCCGGCCCCGGTAAACCCACAACGCCACATCTCATGCGCATCATCATATCCCCTCTGCGTGCATGTCGAACACCGATGCACCCACTTCTCGACCTCACTGACCAAAAACGCTTCGTCGTCGAATCGGGGTCCGGCCGGACCGTGATGCCGCTGCGCGATGTGGGCGCGCTCAATGTCCTGCTGTCGGAATTGGTGTCGGATGTCCGTCGGGATGGTTCGGGGTGTGGTGGTGGGGATGGATGTGGGCTCGACCCTGGGGGTCGTGGGTGATGCTGTCCTTGCTGGTGCTGGTGCCGTCCTCGCTGCGGCTGGTGATATAAATGGCACCTGGGACACAATACTCCCACTATCACTGCTGCATGCCACCTGGGACACAATCCTCTCACTATCACTGCTGCATGCCACCTGGGACACAATACTCCCACTATCACTGCTGCATGCCACTTGGGACGCAATCCTCTCACTATCACTGCTGCATGCCACTTGGGACGCAATCCTCTCACTATCACTGCTGCATGCCGCTTGGGACACAATCCTCTCACTATCACTGCTGCATACCACTTGGGACGCAATCCTCTCCACTATCACTGCTGCATGCCACCTGGGACATGCGCGTGGAAACGATCGGTGGCCCGGACACAAACGGGGGGTTCATCTCCGTCAACCATCTCAATATCCTCATCCATCGCATCCGCCTCCCCCGGGGACGACGACCCCATCCGCGACTCGTGGTCCTCCCAATCGGGCTGGCATCCATGTCCATCACACACCGACTCCGGCACCGTGTCCCCGCATCGCTGGCGCTGGTATCCGCCAATCTCCCCATCCAAATATGCATCCAATATCACCCGCCGACACCCAATCGCGCCGCGGTCCATATATTCGACCACCTGCGTGTGCTCGGCCTCGGGGGCATCGTTCATCCAATACGGACGGATCTCCCGGCCCATCGTCCGGCCCTCGGCTTGCACGATGATGGCCTCGCTGGGCTGCCCATCCCGACCCGCCCGGCCACTCTCCTGCGCATAATCCAACATGTTCCGCGGCTGGCCCACGTGGATCACACTGCGGATGTCCGGAATGTCGATGCCCATGCCCAACGCACTGGTGGCGACGATCACGGCCCCGGGCTGGCGGCGGAACGTGTCCAACATCCCGTCTTTGTCGACCGCGTTGCGGTAAAATGCCGGGCACCCCAACTGCTCGGCCACCCGCGTGACATGCGACTGGACGGTGCCATACACGATCACCCGCCCGGGGTATGCCCGCCGCATGCGGTCCTGGATGAACCGGATCACCCGGGGCATCTCCACCCACTGGAACTGCTCGTCATATGCGTCGTCGACGGGGATGGTGTGCACGCGATACGCGATGTTGTGCCGGCTGGTGGGACTGCGGTGCAGACTGACCTGGTCCCGCTGCCACCCCATGCGATCCCACAACGTCTGCTCCTCGCGGGGGGCAATGTCGCCGTCAACAACACCATCTGGGTGGTCGCGGCCCGCAACGCGCCCATTTGCTGCAACAATGGCCGGAAATCCGGGTTGCGACTCAATACCACATGGCACTCGTCGATCACGATGCGGTCCAACCGCTGGGACACCCGCTGCCGGTTGACGAACTTCACAAATGCCTCGTTGGGGGTGGCCTCGGGCGTGACCAACACAATGGATGCCCCGTCCGGCGGACGCTGGGGATCCCACGCGGCACATGCAATGCCCAAATCCCGACATCGCGCCATCATATCACTCCGTAATGCCGTCAATGGCACGACGACGATGGTCAATCCGGCCCGGCCACTCACCCACGCGGGCAACATGAACAACGCACTTTTGCCGCCCCCGGTGGGCATCACGGCCACGATGCAACTGTCGCCGTGCTTGATCGCCTGCAACACGGGGCCCTGCGGTCCGCGCAACGCCATCGCGGTGCTGCCCATCATGTTCTGGAACGCCTCGGCCATGTTGGTCTGATGCAAATCATATCGGCGCTGGATGCGGGCCTCGGCCGCGGCGTCTTCCCACGGGTTGGGCTTCCGCGTGATCCCCGGGGCTCGGCGGCGCTGCGGCTCCACGGCGGACGGGAATTCCAAAAAATGGTGCCAATCGTGGCTCACGGCCCGGAACAACTCGCGGTGCCGCGCCGTGCTGTTGGGGTTCTCCATCAACATGCGGCCGTAGTTCATCCCGGCGATGCTGGCGGAATGCGCGGCCTGGATGTCGGCGATGAATGCCCGCATGCCCTCGTCGTCCATCTTGCTGTCGTCGTCGATGTCGTCGGCTTCCTCCTCGGCGTTGTTCTTGAACTGGCTGCTCGGGCGCAAATACCGCCGGCTGATGGCGATGGCGATGTCGCGGTACGCCTGTAACCCTAATCGCTGCCCGCGTAATCCATGGGCGGTCTCCCGTTGCAACACCGCGCGAAACCGGTCCCCGCTCCATTCGGTGTGCCGATCGGGGTCGGGGGACCATATATACTCGGCCCGACGGCCCACGGTGGCGGGCTCCCCCCGGACATGCCGCTGGTATGACTGCATCTGCTCGACGAACGGCAACACCAACCACAAATACCACACCACCAACTCGCCGATCTCCCGCGGCACATATCGGAAAATAACCTTGGTGTCGTTGTTCACGTGGAAACCCTTGTGGTATCGGCTGACGAATGTGACCATGCCATCCTCGATGAACACGTTGCGGCGCTCGCGCTCGCTGTTGCGGTGGCGGATGCTCATCAACTCGGGGCCCCGGCTGGGCTGGCCGGCACAAACGTGCACGGCGACACTCAATTGCTCCCGGAACTGGGCCACCACCCGGAAAAATCGATCGATGGCCGGCATCCGGAACCCGCTCCCGTCGGTCTGGATGAACCGCCGCCGCAACTTGGGCTCCTGGCTCACCCGCTTCAGCAACCACGTCCGCCCGGCGACGGGCCACTGGGTGCGTAAATCCTGCAAAAAGCTCCATCCGGGCGCACTCTGCGTGGCATCATCATACAACGCGTCCCACGGGATGGCGGGCGGCGGCTGATCCAGATCATGACAAAACAGCAACTCGGACACGACCCGCTGTCGCATCTGGTGGACCAACCCATGGACGAATCCGCGGAAATCGCCCATGGTGAAATGGAACTGCTTGTACAACAACTCATCGCCCGACTTCCACCCCACGTGGCCCTCGGTGGGCGTGTTCATGTGGATCGTCCTGCCGTACGTGCGCAAATCCATCCACCACTGGACGGGACCGTTGGTGCCACGGACCATGAACAAATCCACCAAATACTTGACCCATTTGGCGAACGTGCGCGTGGGGTGCCGGCGCTGCTCCTGGGTGAATCGCCCGATCATGTCGTCGCGGGTCGGGGGTGGGGAACTCCGCATGGCCATGGGGGTGGACGGGGCGCTCGTGTATCCCTCGTCCTCGTATGCATATGCGTCGTCAAACTCGATCATGTCGCCCTCGACCCACTGGTGGTCCTGCCGCCCGGCCAATCGACGGCGGATCTCCTCCGAATTCGGGTCCAACCGCAACGCTTTGTGTAAAATGAAAAACCGCGTGATCTTGATCAAACTGGATATCTGCGGTGGGAAACTCTGGGGGGTGGCCCAACCGACCTCACTGTAACCGATGACGGCCGTGGCACAAACCATGGCACACCCGTATTCATCGTTCCGGATCTCCTGGCGTAACAAATCGATGCAAAAATTCAGCAATGCATTCTCGATGGGGCGGATCTCAAACGGCTCGGGCTCGTCCTCCTCGTCGCCGGGGTCGGGGCTACCGGCACGGGCTTGCGCATAATGCCACACGGTATCCCACGACTGCTGCTGGCGCTCGGTGAATGAATATGGGGGGACTCCCAATCGTGTTCGACCTGTGCTGGTTAATATGGTCGGTCCGGAATGGACATGGGTTGTGGTGGGAATTGGGTTGTCGACGGTGCGGGTCGGGCCGGGCTGGTCACCCCGGTGGAATATCCACAACGCGGCAATATATCTCTCCGCCGGTGGACGGGAGCATTGGCATACCCACACGATGCTCTGGGCACACCCTCACTGAACACAACGTACCTGGGTCCGCGCAAAAAACATCAAAATGTGCTGCCACGGCGCCACATGCTTTGCAATGGCGGCGGCATCCAAATATGCCAACAATGGCTTGTGCGGGCTCTCGTCCTTGGTGGTGCGGACGACTTCGATCCGCAATAAATGACCACACGCCTTGGCAATCTCCTGGCTCACATGCGCTAATCGTTCAATGGCCTGCCAAATCACGAATGCGGCGCGCTCCGGTCCCTCGATATTTTCCTTGGGGCGCCGGGTGCTCTCGACCAATGGCTGGCGGGGGACCCCTTGTAAATACCGGACCCATCCCGTCCGATTCAACCATGGCGTGGCTTCGTCTAAATCGCCGGCCTGGATGATGGTGTCCTGGGCCTGTTGATCTTCCTGCTGATACTCCGACACGGTGTGCAATAGCTGGCGGATGGCATCGGCGTCGGGAACGGGATTCACGGGCACTGCGGGGTCTGGCTGTCCCACGCAAATATAATGGGACCCGGGCCCTTGCTTAAACAACCGTTGGCATGAAACGGTCCAGCAGTGGGCTTCAATGCGGCCCTGGATGGCTCGAATCTGGGTGGGCGTGGGGCGACCACGGCCCTCATACACACGATAGTCATGGGCCTTGCCCAATGTTTCTTCATCACATCGATCTGACGACATGTGTATTGGTCGCAGAACCGACATATGAGTCCATCCTGATAAACGGGTAACTCGGGGATGGGCTCGTCCATCTGATGGGGCCAAC